TTCCTTCATTCCTCGGACATGTGCGTGCACTGTGAGGTGCTGGCGGGAGGATGGAAATGAGGCAGACACAGATTCTGCCCGCAAGGGCTGCCCACGAGGAGATCAAACATATGCAGCACTCACTGCTATACACAGAGGAATGCACTGAACGGAGGGCAAGTTTTCGTCTTGGTTGGCAAAGGGGGTGGGTGGTGTGGATTGAAGCAGCTGGTGGCAAAGACATAAGCTCCATGATGGTGTGCGTCCTGCCCTTCCAGAGGGCCGGATGCCAGCTCCTCCAACAGTGCTTGGCCCCGCGACCAGAGCACACTTGTTACCCAACGACCGAGTGAGCGCCGAGCGCAGAGATGTGGGGAGAAGGGCACCGAGCAGGCACAGCAACATCCGCAAACCCACAGCCAGGAAGAGGTACAGTCCAACGTGGCAGGAGCAAGTGAGGAGAGTGGGGTGCAGCCAGCGCCCAGAGCAGGCTCAGGCCAGAGCGGGTCCTGTGGAGCCACAGGCCCGGGGCTTCCCGAGAACCGAGGCCGCAGAGCCTTCAGCAGCGGGAGCAGCACGGAGCTAGAGGAGGGGTGTGGGCCGGGCAGCGGATGAAGGCCAGCCGAGGGGTGGATGGGGTCCAGCGACCCGTGAGGAGGCTCCTGTGAGAACCTTCTCTAAAGTCCATCGGGCCAGGGCCCCAGCCCCTCCGCCAGGAGCAGCTCCATGGCACTGAGTGTCTGCGGGTGCGTGCTTATTTGTACCGAGATGATCTCCTTTTCCCCACTAGAAACAGTCAGTGCCCGTGGAGGACACCTCTCTTCACTCCCCGATTTCCCTCGTTTCCTTCGCTCCTCCCAGAAAGCACCTGAGGCTTCGGCTGCACACAGAGCCCGCCGTCAGGCTGCGACCCTCCGCCGCGCCTGCAGCTGCTGCGGCCATGGGGTGCAGGGTGGCAACGGGCACGAGAGAAGTGGCCTGTGCACCTCCTGCCACACCTTTCCCTGCCAGGGCCCAGGGAAGCGCTGGCTCTCCTTCCTGCCTGTCTCTGCTTGCAGGCGGCTCCTCCCCCTTTCTCCCTGGGAACATACCTGTAGCTATTGGAGAGCATGCCCTTTTGGGACTAGAGACTTTTCTTAGGCCTTTTTCATGATTTTGGGCGGGGGGGGGGGGGGGTCAGGAGGGGTTGAAGGGCGGGGGCAAGAGTGGCTGTAAGGACCTATGGGGGGGGGGGCCTACAGCGTTTGGACAGGTTCAAGCCTCGCACTGATGAGAGGGCACAGTCCCCTCGCGGCCACGTGCAGGTCCCAGCACAGTGACAGCCGGCAGCTGTGGTGTGAGCGTGCCTCTGTGGTTCGAACACGTGGCCCCATGTGCCTGAGTGCTATCCACTGCAGGTAAACAAAGCCGGATCAGGTGCAAGTCCTGGAGGAGGACTGAAACCCAGGAGAATGCTGTAAACATCCGGACCACGGCCTTAGTTTGCTTCGTGGCATCGGCTATAAAATAAAGACCAGGCTGGTGGTTCCTGGCGCTGCTGGGTCCCCATCCGGGAGCAGCATTCTACCGAGTCCCAGCGTTCCTTCTCCTGTCTGTCTTTTCTAACCCGTTACCGCCCCCCTCAGCGCCACTGAGCCTGGCTGAGCTGGCGGGCACAGAAGGCGCCAGGGGCTCAGTACACCATGTCTGTGCCAGCTCCCCACACCTATCTTTCTTGGGCTTTTTCAAAAACGAAAGAGACAGGACTCTGAGTAAATGCTCCCAGTGGAATGTGAGTGCCATGCGGCACAGTGGTGGGTCATGCCCGAACAAGAAGTCCTCTGCTTCCTCTTGCCCCACCCCACCCCCCACCCCGGGACAGGGACTTGGCCCTGGTGGTGGAGGTGGTGGTGGTGGTGAGCACGCCCTGCCCCCGGGCATCATCCTACAGGATATGAAGCAAGAAGAGCCCAGGTCCCGGACCTCGCTCGTGTGGAAGGCGGGCCCAGCCTCCCTGGACGGTGTACGGGCTTGGACTTGTGTATGTGATAGAAGCAGCTTCCATCCCGGTGAAGCTGTCACCATTTGGTCTCTGCTAACAGCAGCCCAGTCAGCACCGGAACACGTCGCTCATAAATCACAACTGTGCGTTGAATGAATGTGATTGTAAGTAGAAGAGTTACTATGTAAGTAATCTAATAATAGATATTTTCCCATTCCCCTGAGCTTTGAGCATAAAGCATTTGTAGTACATTGGCAAACAGCCACACAAAGCTTCCCCTCCGGGGAAGTTCTGGGTCGGGACCTGGGCCCGGGCCCTCACCTGCTTTGTCACGGGGAGACTGGCATGCACAGCGCTCACTCCCTGCCTGCGGAGGGGAAGCCAGGCGGCGCTCAGCTGGCTGCTGGTGCTGAGTCCGTCTGCACACCACACACACGGCCTTTGCCGGGAAAAGACGATAAAAGCTTCGCACTGAGTGTCACAGCATCTTCTCAGGCAAACACCGTCCCCAGAGGAGGATGGTGAGTGAGCTGTGGGTGGCGGGCACTGCGTGTTGCGCTGTGGAGCACAGCCACACTGCAAGGAACTCTGGGAACGACTTGCTGCTGAAGAGCAAAGCTTGACACCGGGCTTGAAAACATTTGCATCTGCGCGTGTTATCATGTTGTAAATAAGTGAGTGTCTTCCTACTTGAACTTGGACAGTAAATAAGGATGCCTGCTTGCACAGCCCCGCTGATCAGATGTGCTTACCGTCAGGTTTCTGTGCTGCCATCACCGGAGCACTGGACCCAGTGAATCCACAGGAGGCGCCAGAGCCCCCCTCTTCACCCCCTTCCCAAAGAGGCGCCCAGAGCTCCCCCCTCCCCCCTAACCCCCCAGAGAGGCGCCAGGACTCCTGGAGAGGCGTGTGTGTGTGTGTGTGTGTGTGTGTGTGTGTGTGTGTGTGTGTGTATGTGTGTGCGCTGGAAGAGCACTGCAATGTGAGTCAGGCGGCCACGGGCTGGGAGTGAGGAGCTGAAGGCCAGCCCTAACAGGAGGATGGTGCAGGAGCAGCTTTAGGAACAGGGCTTGTCATCAGGCGGGACACAGGCCTGTTCTCTTCAGAATAAAGAGAAACATCAAGAAAAGGCGGCATTTTGCCTTGACAATGACAAAAGGTCTGTACTATTGAAAACAGAAACGTTGACATGAAAACACTGAAAATGAGAAAATACTATTTCCTACACCACGGACGTTGTTGTGTATGAACGGGATTGTCTATCTTTCTTTGATCAAGACCTTATTGCTGTTGGTGGTGTTTGCCTTGGCGTAGTAAGCACAGGGGCTTTGTCTTGCTGATCCTGAATTCCCAGAACGCTGTGTGACAGCTTATTAGCTTCACTTAAGAAGGACGTGTTGACTAAAGGAATCGGTAAAAATGACTGAATAATGTTTGCGTCCAATAGTTATGATTTCCACTACATCAACTGAGACAATTACCCATCATGTTTTGAAGAACCCAGTAAAAAAAACACATTTTAAACAAAGAGATTTTCTTTTTAAAATATGAAAACAGGATAATTTCTGTCAAATATGTTGCTTATAGAGAAGTCTGCTTTATAGTCAAATTTTTTTTTTCTTTTTGAGTCTTTTAAGCACACTTATTACATTTGGCAATACTGGAATATTTGATTTTCCAGAACTATGACTAGTGTAAAGCCTTTTAAAAAATAAACATGATTAAGAACATGAGTTTAGAACAACAGAGAAAGAATCTGACCAATATTTTTTATGTGGAAAAATATAACATTGAAAAATCACATTATAAAACCACGAGCTTGAACGGTGATGGTTTTTGGTGTTTGCTGATCAGTAGTCATCTTGGCTCCCATGACCACCTAGTCACATGAAATACAAAGGACTGAAGCTACAACTAGCCGAGTTTTCGTCCATTTTCAATGATTTTTAACTATTGTAAATCCACTGACCCACATTCCAATGAATTCCATCTGTGTAGCAACGTGGACATCTGACTTGGGGGGCCTACAGGAGTTCTGTTATTCATGTTTTCATTAAGAATGTGGTTTCAGAATAGGTATTAGTTTTGCAACATTTATACAAAACCGATACTGTGATACTGGAAAGCAATACCATTCACTTAACGAGTTGCTATGCAATAAGTCAGATCCTCCCAGAGTGTAAATTATACAATTTGAAAGCTACATCTATTATTTAATATCTCACTCCCAGACAGGTGCTCGCTCAGTGGTAACCTAATTTAAAGCCGTTCACATAAGAAGGCTTAGGAAACACACACATGTAGCTAAATCATTTGTTCCTCCCCCCCCCCTTCAACAGTATTAAAACTATTTCAACTACCTCTAATAAAAATGAGACATGAATTGTATTAACAGCCAGAGATACTTGAACTGAAGCTTGAATTTTTAAAAATTTTGTCATTTAAAAGGTGTCTTGAAATACACATATTCAGTTGCCCTTCAATATTCTAGCAGGCTGGTAAGCATTTTGTAAGAAAGAGTGTTGTCAGAATAAAATGCTAGGATAATTCTGACATTTCCTAGGTTGAATTGAGATTTCTGATCATGGGTTATTGAATAAGTTTGATTCCAGCTCAAATTTGAAAGAGAATTTAAGATTTCTAAGAACTAATAATAAAGAGGGGGAAAAAGCTAATAAAAGATTTCTAAGAACTCATGGGCGTGCAATAAAACTTTTGCCTAGTGGGGCTACTTTAGAGAATAGTACATTAAAGGGAGTCTTGTCCCTTCATAAACAGCTTATGAATACTTTGGGTGTCTTACGTTATTAGGATGTGCTAATCAATGCACACAATATACCACTTGCTCAGGACCCTTCCCCATAACCTAGCCTAGACCTCCACACTGTTGGGTACCATCTGCTACTGGCACAGCAATTGCCCTTCTGGGCAAAGACCACCCAGAACCTGGGCTCAGAATCCACAGGCTGGCTGGCCCGCCACTGTGACCCGGCGTGGGCGGGACCGGAGTGGGCGCATTCGGTTCAGGAGGGTCACTTACGACTGAGTTTTTCATCATGGCTTTGACTGTGAAGCCCTCAGAGACCAGGGAGTGAGGCTGGTGCGCCCGCAGCTTGGTCCTCTTCGGCATCTTGTCTGGGCATTTGGTTACGCTCAGGGTCTCTTTTTCTGCCACCATCTTCCTAGAAAATGTCTCGTTCTCATAAAACGTGTAGTAAAAAAAATCAAGTGGGTTTTACGGATGCGAGGATGAGGTCGGGGGGAAATGTAAAAAGGCGCGCTAATGGTAGAAATTCAACCCTTCCTAGTGCCCAGGTTGGTTGAGATGTTGGCAGCTCCCAGGTGAAGGGAGTTGGAGGGGAGGGAGGGGCGGGAAGAGCGCAGGACCTTGGCCGGCGCTGCAACGAGCTTCCAAAGGTTAGCCTCCCGTTGCTAAGCGACGCGTCAACACTGCGGCGAGTGGCTCCACCCCCCCAGTGACGTACGTACGTTTCCTGGGACTTCCCCCGGAAGTGCGGCCGACCGCAGGCAGCGGGCAGCGTGAGGAGAAACCGCGCGAAAACTACGACTCCCAGAAGGCCGCGGGCCGCTCGCGGTCTGCGCGTGCGTACTGTGAGCCGGGCTCCGGGGCGGGCAGTCCGGGCGGACCCGGCCCCGGAGCGCCCCGCCTGAGGGAGGCGGCGCGGGCGGCGCCGGAGCGCGCAGAGCCCCCTCTCGCCCAGCAGTGCGCACCTGCCCGGGACCATGATCGGTACGTGGTGCCCGTCAGGCACAGCCTCTCTGCGCCGCCCTGCGCCGGCCGTGGCGCCGCGCCGGTCCCCGGAGGAGGACGGGTCCGGGGTGCCCCCTCCCGCCCTCAGGTGCCAACTGTCAGCGGCGTCCGCGCCCCGCGCCCCGCGCCCCGGAGCCGCGCCGCCGGCGCCCCCGGTGCCCGCGGGGAGCGGGGCGGGGCGCCGCTGTCAGCCCGCCAGCCCCGGTGTGACAGGCGGGCCGCCCCGTGAGGACTCGGGGAGCCCGCGCGCCCTGCACCCCGCCCGGGGACGCCGGCCCGTGGCCCCAGGACAGCGCCGCCCGCAGGCCCGGGTGGGGGGCGCGCAGGCCCTCGGCCCGGGCGCGGCGGGCTCCCCGGCTCGGCGCGCGGACCCGGGTCCGTCCTCCGCCGCCGCCGGGCCTCGCCGGGCGTTACCCGGAGTGACAGGTGGCAGGCGTCCCGCTTTGGGCGGGACAGTCCCGCCAGACGGTTGCCCTGCACGGATGCCGCTGAGCCGGGGGTGGGGAGGAATCTGGCAGAGGGGCAGAGCTGGAAGCAGCCGTCAGCCGCCCCCGGCAGCCCGCACCCTGAGGGCGGGGCAGTGCGACTTTATCCCCGCGCCCGGGCAGCTTAACTTGCAAAGAACCACATTTATGGTCCAGCTATGGACAGAGACAGGGGCTTCAGATCTAAAAGTCTCTCCCCATTCCTAATGAATGAGTACATGCAGAGCTATCAGGGTGAGACTTGTGCAGGCAGTTTTGTTCAGTTTTCTGGTCTTTGTGTTTTTATTTTTGTATTTTGGGACTGTTTTAAAACGCCGCGGGACACATGGTTGGAAAGCGGGACTGTCCCGCCGGAAGCGGGACGCCGGTCCCCTGGCTGTACACTCGGAGGGGCTGGGTGGGCGGGGCCGGGCTCTCCTGCAGGGGCTCCCACCTCGGGTGCCGGAGCTTTCCGGTCCTCTGTCCACTGCCCGGGCCTCGCCGGGCAGTAAACTGAGGTGACCAGGCGTCCCGCTTTTGGCGGCACAGTCCCGATCTTTAAAAACAATTTGTCCCGGGGCGTTTTAAAAAAGTCCCGATCTTTGTCCCGGGATTTTTTTTAAATTAAAACGCCGTGGTGGGCACTGGACAAATTGTTAAAAAATAATAATAATAATAAATCGGAGCCGAAACCAGAGCGTCAGCCTGCGGACTGGAGGATCCCGGGTTCGATTCCGGTCAAGGGCATGTACCTTGGTTGCGGGCACATCCCCAGTGGGGGGTGTGCAGGAGGCAGCTGATTGATGTTTCTCTCTCATCGATGTTTCTAACTCTCTGTCCCTCTCCCTTCCTCTCTGTAAAAAATCAATAAAATATATATATATTTTTAAAATCTGGACTGTTTTAAAACGCAGAGGGACAAATTGTTAGAAATCGGGACTGTCCCGCCCAAAGCGGGATGTCTGGTCACCTGGGGGAGGCGGGGCCGGGCGCTCCTGCAGGGGGACTCACGCTGTGGTCCCTGGAGTTCTCCCGCTGAGTCTCCCCGGCGGACCGGTCCGCGTGGAGGAGGAATCAGAGTCCACCAGCCAGGGCGGGAGCTGTGTGCACACGAATGGCCCCGACGCCTGCATGGGGAAAGGCGCTAACCCAGGGGCCTCACAGTGAGCAGAGCGCGGGCAGGGCCGCTGGCTTGTCGTCAGCGCTGCCAGCTCAGCTGCAGTGTTACCCAGCGCAGGCGTGTGAGCCAGACGTGACATTGGGGGGAATCTCTGGAAATTAGTGGAAATGCACCGCGTGACCAGAACACACCGCGTGACCGGTGCCTGCCAGCAATTATTAGGGCAGTTTATTGCGACAGAGCCTTGCTCTAGAACATGTGCCAGTTTGGTGAGCTTATTTGGGGATTATTTCCAATAAGCGCCATTTGTGAAACACTTTTTAAAAAATGTACTTTATTGATTTTTTTACAGAGAGGATAAAGAGTTAGAAACATGGACCAGCTGCCTCCTGCACATGCCCCACTTGGGGTGTGCCCACAACCAAGGTACATGCCCTTGACCGGAACCGAACCTGGGAGCCCTCAGTCCGCAAACCAGTGCTCTATCCACTGAACCACACCGGTTAGGGCTGTGAAGCACTTTTGATTTCCACTAAGGCATCTGAAGTCAGATATAGTGTGATTTTAGTTCAACGAAATCCAGTGCAAGGTTAATTTAAAAAGAAACAAATTTATCTATAGCTTTATTTATGATAAAGCTATAGATAAAGACAGGGACTTAAGTTCTAAAAATCATCTCTTAATTCCAAATTAAGTATCTAATAAGTGATTACATAAATAACTATTAGGATGAAATTTGTTTAGGTGGTTTTGTTTAGTTTTCTGTTTTGTCTTTTTATTTAGAGACACAAGAAGAAAGTATGACCTTGGGATTTGATGATTACACAGCTATTTGTAACTGGTAATGACATGAGGAATTTAAAGTTTTAAAAGTTTATTTTCATACCCTGGCCAGATTGCTCAGTGGTTGGTGCATCGGCCTGAGGACTGAAGGGTTGCAAGTTCCATTGCGGTCGGAAGCATGTACCTACAGGTTACAGGCTCCAGCCCTGTAGGGACACTCGCAGGAGGCAATCAGCCTCTCTCACATTGATGTTTCTCTGTGTCTCCCCACCACCTTCCTCTCTCTTTAAAAGTCAATGAGAAAAATATCCTCAAGGATGAGGATTAACAACAAAAAAAAGTTTTTGTCATATTCCAATTCTTAATGTTGTGAATTACAACATAGGTAATTAAATGCATGTCCCATCCTAAGAAAAGTACCTTTCCTATAACAAGCCAGAGGACATTGTGTGATAAATTATTTCTATAACTAGCTGCGTGGCTTATGACTGTCGGCAGGCACATTCTAACAAAATTCCCCGTTGCCCGTGGGGCCCAGTTGTGTTGGAGGGTGGTGGAGGTGCGTGGGAATGGGAGCCGGGGAAGGGAGGTGTAGAGGGAGGGGGTTCCAGGCGCTGTGACAGCTTGGGAGCCAGTTCCAGTTTACATGCACCGATGAGCTGGATCCACATGCACTGACGATACACCTGGGGGTCGTCTTTTCTGATTAAACACCTGGGCTACTCAGAACTTGCCCATTTCATGTCTGTGCTCTCTGCCATTGCTACACCTCCTTCCATGCAAACAGCACCCTTCCACTTTCTTTGTATCTTAGCTCACTTTTGAGGAAAAAACGAGAAGTGGGTTGCTTGGTAGAATGGGAGTAAGGTATAATATTACCTCTCAACCGATACAGCTCTCTTGGCACCGAGATTGTTTCAAAGCATGTGCATGTCTCACTTGAATAATGACTGGTGTGTTAAATGCCCTGACCTAGACAGCTACAGAAACACAATTTAATGGAAGTCAGAAAAATGATGACTGTGAGAAGTATGGAGAAGGACAGCAAGGTAATATAAGCAGAATGGAAAGACCTTAAGAAAATTCAAGTTGGAAAAATGTCATTTGGGCACCTCTATATTTTTTATTTGACTCCCTTTACCCTTACTTCACCTACCCTCCTTTCCACCTGGTAGCCTCCATACTATTGTCTGTGTCTATGAGGTTTGTTTGTTTTCCTTGTTTGTTCATTTGCTGATTTCAGTTTTATAGCCCACCTATGAGTGACATCAGATGGCTCTTGACTTTTTCGCTCTAATTTATTTCCCTTAGCGCAATATTCTGATGCTCCATCCATGTTGTTGTAAGTGGCGGTATTTCATCTTTTCTGATGGCTAGGTGGTATTTCATTGTGTTTGGGGTCGTATCTTCTTTACCCAATCAGCTATTGAGGGACGCTTTGGTTTTCATGTCTTGGTCGCCTTGAATGATGCTGCAGTGAAGTGGACATAGGCTGAATGGGCAGCCCTGGCCAGTGTGGCTCACATAGTTGCAGCATCCTCTCAATCACCAAAAGGTGATGGGTCTGATTCCCAGTCAGGGCGCTAGGGGAGGCATTCTATCGATGTTGATGTTTCTCTCTCTTTCATTAATAATTTTAAAAAAAACCCAACCATTATTCAAAAGTAAATTATAAAATAAAGTGCATGGATATGTGTACAACAGTTTTGCCACTATTGAACTTCAAATTCAATGTCTTATTCTATAAAAATATTTTTATTTAAAATAACACAATAACTAGAACAGTGTCTCCTCGGTACCTTGTTTAACTTACCCTCTCCTAAAAGCCTTACATGTCTGCATGTACAGATCTCCCCTGATAATTCCCGCCTGGGCTTCCATCTTATGGATATACATAACTTATGCAAACACTCTCCAGTAAATGAGCCTTCAGTAAGTTTACAGACAATTGTTATCATCAGGAATGTTTGTGTCTATATCATTTTATTTGCATATGTTAGCATATATGTAAAGTAAGAACCTTATTACAGTGTCTGGGTAGGTTTTCTAGATGAAGCCTTTGTAAGATTTTTAACTTTGCAAAGTATTTCCAGTTGTCCTAAAGCAAATCACTCTCTTCTGCTCTCCTGTCTACCACGCGAGGTAGCAGACACCTGCCCTGCCCCTCTGGGTGGAAAGATTACAGAAAGGCACCCCCGGAGCGCCTGCTAGGTCTCAGCTCCCCTTTACACCCGCTCCCCATCCCCCGGTCCGCGCCTTCGAGCAGCGCCCAGCTGCACAGCTGTCCGCAGAGGCCCAGACCTCCTACAGTGTTTGTAGGACTGCCCGATCCCCGCTGTGTCCTATAAATTTTATTTTGCCTTATGATAGGTGAAAGAACAGTGCATTTTAATTTGTGAAGTGAATTCATGAAGGAAAACTTCTCACTTCTCAGAACACATTACTTTCATGAAAGCAGATCCAACCATTAAGCACCTACTGTGTGCCTGTCCTGTTCCAGGTGCCAGGGACACATGCGTGGGGAAACACACACACACACACACACACACACACACACACACACACACACACATATACACATATACACATACACACATACACATACACACACA